GGGGGGGGGGTCCGATCCTCCACCCCTGGGGTGTGCTGAGACAAGATTGAGACTGGGTGTAGTGGCCTGTGCCTGTAATACCAGTGCTTGGTAAGCTGAAAACAGGAGGATCACTATGACTCCAATCTGTGTATTGAGACCCTATAGACCAGGTACTAAATACATTAAAAAGACAAAACAAAAACTTAGCGGCAGAGTACTTGCATAGCATGTGCCAGGACCTGAATTTAATCCTCAGCAACTCACACACACCCTCACGTACACACCCATACCATGGCATGGTATCACACATCACTTAGGAGGCTGAGGCAGGTAGAAGGATTACAAGCTTGAGGCCAGCTACATAGTGAGTTTAGTTTAGGTCTGGCCTTGGTTACATAGCAAAAACAAAACAAGAAGGTATGTCAAACCTGATAGGGCCAAAATCAGATCCTTTTTTGTTTTGTTTTGAGACAGGGTCTTGCTATGTAGTTCAGACTAGCTTTGAACTCACTATGTAGTCCTGGTTGGCTTTAAACTCACAGCAATGCTCCTGCCTCAGCCTCCTGAGTGCTGGATTACAGGTGTTCAACACCATGCCTTGCTTCCAAAACCAATTCCTAATGTTCCCTGTCCCGCTCCTTCACCCTCCCACCCCCAATCATTCCTTCCAAAATCATCTAAATATTTTTTTGTGTGTGTGGGACTGGGGATTGAACTCAGGCCCTTGTGCTTGCCAGGGAAGTGCTTATTCCACAGAGCCATCTCCCTGGCAAAATCACCTAAATCTTAGTGTAAGCCACTGTGTCTTCCCAACAGCTTAAACTAAGAGCCTTCCAGGTACCATGAATGGTCTCTTTCCCTTATGCTCTACACCAGTGATGCCAAACCTTTTAGAGTTTTCAGTGATACAAACAGCCCACAGTGGCACACATGCCATAGTTTCACCACACTAATCCTCCACCAAGCTGACAGGAAGTCCTATTGGTTCTACCTTCAAAACTATGTCTTGATCCATTCGGCTCCTCCACTGCCATCAGCCACAGGGGCCTCACTTCGTGGCTGTACTCCACTGCCTTCCATACTCATACCAGCAGCCCAGCACTCCTCCAGATGGATAAGCCAGCTGTGCCTTTCCTCCATCTAAACCTCCTTATTCACTATAGATCCTAAAATATTTCAAAACCCAAAGCTGGGGCCGAGGAGATGGCTCAGTTGAATAAGCACCTGCCTGGCAAGTGCGAAGTCCTGAGTTCAATCCCAGGTATCACCAACCCCCCACAAAAAAAAAAACCCACCCAGATCTGCAAATAATACATTCCTTGCCAGTCTAATGGCACCTTCTTCAATTTCCTGCTATCCCACTCCAACTTCTTCTCCTTGTCCTATCCCTTCCACCTCTTTTCCTAGAGATTGTTTTGTTTGTTTTTGTACCAGGGATCAAACTCAGTACCTTGTACTTGCCAGGCAGGCATTTATGCCGCTGAGCTATCTCCCTAGACCTTCTTTCCTGGAGATTGAATCCAGGATCTTGGCAATGAGCTAGATTCTCAGCCTTTTAATTTGTTTAAATCTTTTATTTCTTTATTTATTTGGCACAGGGTCTTGCTATGCAGCTCAGACTAATAGTGATCCTCCTGTCTCAACTTCACCAGTGCTAGGATTATGGGCATGCAGCCCGCCAGGTTTCATTGGCCAGCATGGTGTGGCTGTTGTTCTGGGGCTGGCATGGTGTGTGGTACTGGTGAACAAACCTGGGTCCTTGTGCTTGATAGACAGGCACTTATGCTGCTGAGCTATCTCCCCAACCCCCCCACTTTTTTTTTTTTGACAGAAAGTCATTAAGTGGCCTAGGGTGGGATGGAATTTGAAATTCTCCTGTCTCAGCTTCTCAGAGTGCTAGAATTACTGCCATGGACCACCACACCAGACTCGCAGTGTGCTTCTTGCAGTTGCTTAAAGATGCAAACAGGCTCGCATGGTGGTGTAAACCTGTAATCCCAGCACTCCAGGCACAGATGCAGGATTGCTGTGAGTTCCAGGCCAGTCCGGATTACATAGTTCAACGCCAGCCCAGACTACACAGACACTGTCTTAAAAAAAACAAGTAACTTTTTATTTATTTTTTTTACAAATAACTTTCTAAAAAGCATCCAATCCTGCTCCCATGGTGGGGGATGGGGATGTGTCCTCACCTGGCTCCCCCCATCTCAGATATCCTGAGCAATTTCTCCCTCAGTCCTTTCACAATTTGGCTCAAATATAACTTCCTGTTTTTTCCCCTGACCATCCTAGTTACTTGGTAAACACTCACCCTCCCGGTTTTATTTTCCTTCAGTTCTTTAAAGATGCAAACAGGCTCACATGGTGGTGTACACCTGTAATCCCAGCACTCCAGGCACAGATGGAGGATTGCGGTGAGTTCCAGGCCAGTCTGGATTACATAGTTCAACGCCAGCCCAGACTACACAGACAGAAAATGACAGAACCTCTACCATTTAACATACTGTTTTTACCTCTCTAGCTTATTTTCTGGAAAAGTACCAAGTCGCTGCTAGCACTAGGCTGAGCACTTAAGGTAGGACAATGATATAAATCTGACAAAGCCTGTGAAGCTCAACTCTTGAAATTATAGCTTTCTAATTTTCATGTGTATGTCCCTGGCTGGGGAGCACTCTGAAATTGGCTTTGGCTCCCCTTGGAGATTCTCGGGGAGTCCAGGAGCTTCTTTACAGCACACATACCAGGTAGGTTGTGTGGGGATCACACTCCCAGAGGCTGTTGGGATAAAGTGAAGTGAATCCCTTTGAATCTCAGGCACCTGAAGTCTCACTTTATTTTTTAAAGAGTACAAAGTAATTTTTTCTTCTTTCTTTTTTCTTTTTTTTTTTTT